TGCATGGAGGCAGACATTACTTACAAGGCTCTCGCCAAGGTAACCTTAAATAATCCTTTAGAATGCATTTTCGTTCACTGTGTATGTTCCAAAATCAACACTAAGCCAGAACGGCAAGGCAAAAGAAATGCAAAGACAGAAGAGCCGGTGTCATAGCTGATACTGTCCCCCACCCCAGAGAGTGTCCCCCCCTCGACACTATCCACTAGTGGGTTATGTTTCCCTGAACAGTATCCGCTAGCTGACACTGCTCCCACGGCATTAACCACATCGTAGATAGTGCTTGTCCGCATGTATTTTGTCCCTACCGTGGTTAATTATACGTTCACTTCCACGGACGATTTGTTGTTTTGCGATTTTCTATTTCTACGCCTGGAATGGAGCGCCGTTCCGGGCATAAGCCCGGGGCGAGGGTACTAATTTCGCCCAGCTATTTACACTCGGGGAAACGAAAGCATTTGCACAGAATACTACACAGAAGTCCATCTCCATTGTTTTTTGCGTAAGCTCTAGTTGTCATGATTTGTTACTCACCAAGTACCGTAAACAGAAGCAGTTCCCCCCTGCAAATACTCAATGGCGCACGTCCAGGGGGGTAACTGCTTCTGTTTACGGTACTTGCTGAGTGACGAATCATGACGATGGACTTCTGTGTAGTATTATTCTGTGGCATTAGCGAAGTCTAAAGTTCATCAATGATTGTGGGCATGGGTCACCAACGGTGTTGAGTAGGTGGTCATCCTCACTGATCTCAAAATATGTGGCGGACTGTCATGAATAGCGAACACTAATTGGTCCAATTTAAAATTTGTTGTTGTGATTGATTTGATGACAAATGACGACAGCGAAATAACAAACATTTCTTGCAAACCAGCCAATATATTGTATTTTCGCAAGATTTTGCAAATTTCAAAACCTTTTTCAGAGCCAAAAACCGTCTAAGGGACAGACCATTATTTTTTTGGAGGGGGGATGGACATTTTGTCAACGCAAACAATTTTTTTTAATATTGTTGTCGTTGCAAGCATTTTTTTTGCGCCTGCTTCTTTCTGCAAACAATTTTTTTGTCTATCTGATTTCTGTGGATTTCATTATAAATTTTTATATATATATATATATATATATATATATATATATATATATATATATATATATATATATATATATATATATATATATATATATTATTAATTTTTATAATATTATATATATATTTTTTTTTAAATTTGTGCCCAATTACACCATTGCATGTGTGATCAAACAGCATGTGGTGTTGTCAGAAGTATAAATTTAATATGTAAACAAACATTTAATAGTTTTTTTTTGTATACTGGTCAGGGCCTTTTTTAAGGATTTTCCCATGTGGGGGGGGGGGATTTTTTGAAAAGGGACCTTTCTGTGAGATAATATATTAGAGGGGGATAGGAATGGCTGAATGCCACAGGGTCTGGGGGCATATTCCCCCAGAAAATTTTTGAAAATTGAAGCCCTGAAATTCCATTTTCTGCATTCTGAGCATTTAATTTGCTCTAAAATTGATGCTAAGTATACTTGTATTTGAAATAAAAGAAGGAAGAAACGCACAAAAAATAAAAAAATTATTAACAATTAATAATTTATCAACAATTAATAATTTATCATTACAGTTACTTAGTGCCAGGTAGAAAAACGTAACAATTTAAACTGATTTTTTAAACAAGGACAAAGGATAAAGCCTAAAACTTACTTTTTGTTTATCAATTTGTTATTTTTCGCTGGTTTGTTTGTATAAATTTGGGAAAAAGGACTTTTCCTGGGGGAGGGGGCAAAATGTGATTTTGTGGGGGGGGGGGGCATAAGGCAGACATTTGCTCCTAGGCATGTCCCAATTGTGCTCATAAAATCCAAAAAAGTTGCTCTCTAAAACAAAAAAGGTGCTCTCTTAAAAGCATATAAAAGTTGCTCAAAAGTGGCCCGAAATAAAAAAAGTTGCTACTAAGGCCCCGTTTACATGAGACCGGGATGAAGTCAAACCGGGACCATTTCGTTTCAGTCATAGTATTATCTATAATAAATGTTTACACGAGACTGGGACGAAAATAACTCAGACCGGTCTCAAGTCATTCCGCCTGCTGAACCGAACTGACTGACTTCAGACCGGCATGAATTCAGACCGGGATGGATGTGAACACAAATACATTTCAGACCGGTCTTGGCTGTAACCTTGACATTGGAACAACACATGCTAACAAAAGCCATCTGAAAAAGAAAATTGCCTGGCAAGGGAAATAAATTGAAAATTTTGTGATTTTCGTACCGGTCTCATATAAACATGTTGACAATTTCAATTTTCATTCCGGTTTGACTTCAGTCACTCCGGTCTCATGTAAACAGGGCCTAAAATTCAAAAAGTCTGTACTCATCACGATAATTTCACAACATACGTTAATTAAAAGCTTTATACAATTTCTATAGGCCTGGATAAATTGTTTGGAATTATAAGGAGAAAACGTTTTCTTTACAAAAGTTTTACAAATAACAAAACAAAAGAAAAAAAAAAGAAAAATAAGACAGAAAAATATCACAGAAAATGAAGTAGCCTCGTATGTACCAAGGGTCTTTGTTCGTGGGAAGCAAGAAAATGAAGTTGTCTATGACATGTAAACATTTCTTACTGTAAAGTTTGAACTCTAGTAAAAAGTTGCTCAAAAATTGCTCAAAAATGAAAAAGTTGCTTGGAGTTGCTCGAACCGAAAAAAGTTGCTCCAAACGCAAAAAGTTGCTCAAAAGTTGCTGAGCACAATCAGGACATGCCGATTTGCCCCGCTTGTTTGTTAAAAAAGGCCTGGATACTGGTCCTCTCATTATTTACGCTACACAATGTCTTACACCAGTACTTGTCCAATTACCTATTTTATAAAAAAAAAAACGAAAAAAATACAAAAAAAAATAAAAATGACTGTATTCAATAGATTAATATTTAACCCATATGTAGATTGCGCCATATGCCCCGTCTCCCATCCCAGGTCTTTTGGGGTGAAGACCCTGGGTATGTTGCTGAACACTCTGTTCATTGCTATTAAACCTTGGTTGATGTTGCATAATCTGTTGCAATAGTTTCAATGCTAGTAGTCTGTCTTTTTTATCAATCTTACAAATACAGACTACTAGCATTGAAACTATTGCCCGTCTGCTATTGGCATGAAATTAAGGATCTTGTTTTCTTCTTCAAAATCATCAATGGTTTCTACAGTGTTGACATCTCTACCTTAATCCAGCCAAAAATGTTACTAAAATCAACTAGAAACAGTTGCTCCCTCGATTATGTAGTCCCAAAATGTAAAACCTCTCAGTTTCAAAAAACTTACTTTGTACGAACTGTTAAACTGTGGAACAGTCTACCTACGTCAACCCGTTGCCTTTCATCGGTCGCTTGTTTCAGATCTGCTCTTTACCATCATTACAAGTCTGCGCTGGATTCTACATTTGACTGTGATAATATCTCAACCTGGAAATCTGTCTGTCCAAAATGTTTCTTTCACACGTGATCTGACCTCCTCGTCTTACAGACAATGTTGTTAACTGTCTCTTTTTTCACTTAAATGTTTTTGCACAATGTTTTTGTATTGTTTACTATGTTTTGTTGATGTGAATCATGCTATGTTCTGTTATCGTCGTCAGTCTATATAACTAAAAATTGTTTTTGGCAGTTTACCTTGTTGGGTATGTACCTGTTGTAAACTTGCCTCAATGTACATGGGTGATCGCTAGATAGTATACTTCAAAATAAGGTTTCCATTTTTATAACATAGAAAAAGCTATCCTAACGCAAAACTAAACCCTAACCCTAATACTAACCCTCACCCTACCCCTAACCTAACCCTAACCTAAACCCTAACCTAACCCTAACTTATTTTAATTATTTTAACAATTGATATAAAAACGGAAACCTTATTTTGAAGTATACTATCTAGCAATTGCCATTGTACATGTATAATATGTATATTAAATAAAATAAAATCTCATAAATAAAATTAAATTAAATTAAATAAAATCTCATTAGCTTGCAAACTATTTTTTTCCTCTTCTCTATGTGTGAAAACAATTTATTTGCACTTTTTGGTCTTTACAAACAAATTTTTTAAGAATTTTCCATCCCCCCCTCCAAAAAACCCAATCTTATACGCTCTGTGCAACGTGTAACGATTGTCAAGGCTTTTACAAGTGTTCGTCTGCTGTCCCTTATTTGAACTATCAGTTATTAAAATAGCTACAAATGCTTACAAAAATTGTGGAAATGCTTTAAAAGCTACTGAAATAATTTTAAAATGTGGAAATGCTTTAAAAACTACTGAATAAATTGCTTTGCCATGTCAGGTGGACTGTTTGTATGTTAGTATAGCTCTTTACATAATATAATGACCGGAAAATCCACAAAAGTCAACATTTATATTACTGTATTTCTAGGTTTTATCGACTCATTCTTGCCTGAAGACTACAAAGATGGAAATACTATTGAGGTAATTAAAAGTGGTCCTAAGGCCTGTTTCAAACGTCCCGCTTCTCATGTGCCGAACGAACGCATAATTAGAAACAATAGCTAATCAGCTGAAATGGCACATTATCTATATTGTTTCTAATGCGTTTGGCACACACAAGTGCGACGTTTGAAACAGGTCTTAGCCGATTTATGAACACCAAGCATACTTTCTTGATTTATATTAAAAACTGATTGTAAACAATTTAGTGGCAAAAACGAACCATGACTGAGGAAGTCTTCCTGTCTTAAACGCAGACCTGGAAATAGTGGTGGATCCTGGGATCGACGTTCCTAGAAAATGTTTTGATTGCTAGAAAGGATTTTCAATTTTCTTTGGCAGCAAGTTTTAAAATTTCTTTAAAAAAAATTATCCGTAAAATTCAACAAAAAGGTTAACAATTTCCCAGTCAAAGAAATTTTCTTAGAACTGTAAACGCTGATATAAGTGATATCACCTGATGCACAAATGGGTCTCAAAAAAAGTTTTTTTCACTTGACCATACATAAAAATATTCCTTGAAATTTAAATTTCATTACCACACAACTTGCAAATGTCAAATTAGGTAGTAATAAATGCTTATAAGTTATAACTACAACTGTAATAAGCTATTTTATTATATGGCTTTTCAAAATTTTCCGTATCTGGACCGGTGTCCCGGATGTCGTTTATCTGGAGGGAAATTTTTGCTTTGCAAACAGAAAAATTTTTTGCTTTTTAATTTTCCAATCGTGTGTCATTAAAATTTACAGATAAAAATTTCAAACAACCAAATTGTTTTTGATTGAGCATGCATGCCTACCGTATATTGTTACCCAGTGAAACTGACGATAGCCGATTTAACTCGCGCGAAAAGCATATGCTCATGCACAGACTCAGTTCAGCCATATAATAAACCGATTATTGACCTCGCTTGTTCGGTCTGTACTGTGAAATATCAGACCTCTGTTTTTCTCATGGACCTCGCTCCTTCCTCGCTCGGTCCATACTAAAAAACCTCTGTCTAATAATTCAGGGTACAGACCTCACGCTCGGTCAATAAGCCGTTAATATATGAGCATTTATTACAATTTAAATTAATATGCTAAGACCTAAGTTGCTAACATTAGTAACATATAGAATTAATTAATATTATCCAATATCCAATTTATTGATTAATTGAATAGATTTTGTTAACAGTGAAGGCTGTGAAGCACAGTTCATGCCTAATAGGTAGGGATGCACCGGTCTTCATTATGACATTTAACGCTTGTCAATCTTTTTATTCTAACATTTGCGAGGTCTCTCCTTGATGACTTGAAGTGTCTGCCTGTCTGGCAGCGGACAAAGTAACATGTGACTATATATGGCTTAATAAATTAGTTCCGGTCGGATCCGGTTCCGGCCGGAACTTAAAAAACTGGTTCCGGTGCACCCCTACTAATAGCTGTACGAGTCAAAATGTAAGTGCTGTTAAACCAACTAAATTTTATGACAGTGTTTTCAAACAAAATAACCGCCCCCGGCCTAAATTTTATAACAATGTTTCCAAAGAAAATATTTCCCCCAGGCCTAGGATCCAAGAAAGGCTAGAATTATTTCCAGGTCTGCTTAAACGGAACAATGATTTCTGATCGCTATAGCCTAAAGTATATAAAATAAATGAGTGAAACATGTTATATCACAAGCCAGGCTAGGCATACAGTAGTACGTGTTTATCTCGACAGCTACTGGTCAATATGATGACATCAAAACTATTACCTTGTAGCTGTTTCAAATTTGGAATTGGGTAACAACATTTTAAACCCTTCAGTTATCCCCAAGAATCACTGGCGTTCCCAGCCTGAAAAAAGGGTGGACACATTCTCAGGCCACGCCAATGTCAGGGATAGTTTTATGATCGCGAGCACATTTACTCAGGTCAAAAATTGTTACGAGATGGCGCCAACTCATTATTTTTAATCAATTTTCAATCAAAATATTTCGAGAAGTATAAGAGGTTTTCGATGTGATTTAAAAGTTCTTTCAAATAAAACAAACTAATATTTTTTGCCATGTCCCTTAACCCATTAAGCTGCACAGCTTCCCCATTGAATAAAATTGTATGGCATTAGGCAAGTAAAAAAATAAGTAAGGCGCATTGCGGCTCAATGGGAGACATTGTCAGATTTTTTGGTTAACCCATTAAGCTGCAGAGCTTCCCCATTGACGAGTAAAATCGCCTGGCGTTAGAAAAATTTTAAAAAATAAGCAGGGATCGAGCACCCAATTCACATGAACTCATTTTCTACGACAAATTTTTGTGACAATTTTTTGTTGTTTGCATTCAAGTCCAATATGTTGCAAATTGTCCACAATTTGTGGCAAGTTGTCCATGACCGAAAACAGCCAAAGTTGCTGTGTACACGAGAAAAAAGTTGTCGAAGAAAATTTGTTCGCCGTGTAGAAAAGGCTTTTGTATAATGACAAAAAGATGGTTCGTAACCAAACCGATTTAAAATATTAAAACATATTTGTTTAACAGTCAGACCCAGCCGAGTTGATTGAAACTGCAAAACGGGCTTTGGCAAAAGGAGAATTAGAGGTCGCTGAAAAATACTCGGTTAAGGCCATGCGGACAGTTATGTTGGACAACTCATACAAAAGAAATCCAGAGCCGTATCGCTACTTAGCTGAAGTCCTAGAGAGGAGAGCAGAAGACAAAAATTTGGAGTTGCCGCGGAGACAACGATTTCTGCTTCAAGCTGCATCATTGTATAACTTTGTGCGCAATTTTTTAAAAACAGAGGACGTGGAAGGCGAATTGTCGAAAACGCTGTCGAAAATCGTCCCTCGTAAGTTACTTGATATCCAAGACAACATGGTTGAAATGGTTGGAGGAAATCCTCTTCACTGTAAATTTAATTCAGAGCTTAAAGAAAATGAGCTGAAAAATTTAAGGAATGAGGTAAAACAATCGTTGGAGTCTATGGAGTGCCGTAGATCGTCTAAGAACACAGAATCATTGAACAAATGTGATGTGCGACAGATGCTCAAAGATGAAACCGAGGAGATAGAAAGACTATCTGATACAATTTCGGTTGGAATGAAGCTGTTCTTGGCAACGATAGTTAACGAATGTTTGGAGTTACTTGGAACACCACCTTGTGATCATGAAGTCATTGTCCTTGGGTCTTTAGCGAGAAATGAAATGACGCCATACTCCGATTTCGAATGGGCTATTCTCACAAACTCAGAAGAGGAAGAATGTAAAGTTTTCTTTCGAAATTTAACAAACCTGGTTCATTTGCAGGTAGGCAGAGTCTTTGTATAGTCGTATAATTTTCAGTAGTCTTATGTTTTTATTATATTAAACCCCATATACAGGTGACCAAGTTTTCCTTGACAAGTATTACTTGCTGATCTCGTGCGTACGGCAAAAAATTGACAATTTTTCTTTGTCAACGAGCCTTGTCAGTCCAAAAACTAGTCAAGTATTTACTTGCATGCTTGCGCCAAACGTGCGCTACTAGATATTTGCCTCGACGTTCTGTGTCTCGGTAAATATCCATCATTATTATTATTATTAAAACTCTATTTACACACGGAGTCTATTTCACAGAATGTACTTTTCCATGTAGCCGTGCACATTAAAAATATCTACGTATCACTATTACAATTACATAATACTATTACAATTACAAATTACAATTACAACTAAGAATCACAATACTAAAGAAAAGTAGAAGAAAATTAGGATTGTCTAGTAATATTTTTGAAATTAACTACAGATGTAGCATTTACAGCTTCGACAGGTAGGCTATTCCACAGGACGGTTGCTCTATAAGTAAAACTTTGCTTAAGGGTGATTGCTAGATAGTATACTTCAAAATAAGGTTTCCGTTTTTATAACGTAGAAAAAACTATCCTAACGCAAAACTAAACCCTAACACTAATACTAACCCTAACCCCAACCTAACCCTAACCTAAACCCTAACCTAACCCTAACGTACTATCTAGCAATTGCCTTTTCTTAAGAAACTCAGCCAAAGGTCTTGGGACAAAAAGCTTAGAATTTTGTAGCGTGAAACTTGTGGCGTGTGGATATAAACATACATTTAGTTTTAAGAGCATTTAAGCTTAGTTTATTAGCATCGAACCAACTTTTTAGGATATTTAAGTCGCTGTCCATAGCAGAGAAAACTTGATTGTAGTCTTTATCCGCATATGTCAAATTTGTGTCATCAGCAAAAAGGCGGCAGTCAGACATGAGATTACAATCTGGTAGATCGTTAATATATATTAGGAATAGGAGAGAAATATTTTGCGATGATATATTATTAATAGCAGTATAACTTGAGTTGGTTCAGAAAGATCAAGAGTATTGTTACTGAAACCATAGCATGAGAGTTTTTTTAATAGAATATTGTGATCAATTATATCAAAAGCTTTCTTAAGGTCAATGAACAGGATTCCATTAATTAATCCATTGTCCATATTAGTATACCATTGATCAGTAGCATCAAGTAATGCAGTCAATGTGGAATGCAAGGGTCTAAAACCAGATATCAGATTAGAAAGAAGATTGTGTGTAGTTAAATATTCATACATTTGGTCAACGATTACTTTCTCAAAATTTTTAGGAATTACAGATAAGACAGATATTGGTCTATAGTTGTTGGGATTCATTTTGCAAACCTCCTTATGAACAGGAGTGACTCTAGCACATTTCCAATCATTCGGCATAGTGCGACTACGAATAGCTAAATTGATGATATAAGTCAGTGATTCAATTGTCGTAGGCGCGCTCAACTTCAAGAGAAAAACTGGAATGTTATCAAAACCACTAACTTTTCGCGTAGACAGCTTCTCAACTAATTTTAGAATGTCAGTTATGCTTGTTTCACTGACTTCAAAATGGCTTGATGCGCGTTGAGAGATGCGATCGTAATCAATATTTTCATTTTGCGAATCAATCTCAGCCGCTAACCTAAGTCCTATGCTTGTGAAGTGAGTATTGAAAGCATTACTGATCTCCACTGGATTACTGATCTCAGTGTTGCCAATCAGAACTTTCGTACTTGTTTTTAGAGAGTAAACTATTAATACCTTTCCAGGTATTCTTTGTATGACCCTTATTATCGTCGAAGAAAGAACCATAATAGTGGCTTTTTGTTGTTTTTAATTTGTAATTCACTAGATTTTTTAAATTTTTTAATTATTCCAAGCTATTTCATCATTAGTTATTACTGCAATTCGTTTCAATTTATCCCTTTCCCACATTATATAATTAATTGCTTAATTAATTGCTTATGAATAATTTTTAAATATAGTAGTCTCCTCGCATGTGCTTTTACGCTGCTGTCCGATTGCTTATTTCCCTTTTAAGATAGTCTCTAAGTAGCGAACTTCGTTCCAAAGTTTTCAATTACATTTGGAAGTTTGCCATTTGCCAACGAATTTTACAACACGTAACAGAAACCTTATTTGAAATCAACTGCAATAAAGCGTAAAATGCATAATACAATAGTTGAGGGGACGAAAATGGGGGGGGGGGGATAGGTGAAAAAGTATAGAATAAACAAAGGAGGAAAGGAAGACATTTAGCGATGAAAAAGCTCTGGTGAACCGAAGGGTGGGAGCAGAGAAAAACAAAAATAAGTGGAAAAGAATCCAGGGCAGGAAGTATACCAAAGATAGAAATACTTTTGAGCAATCTTTACCTCACTTTAGGTTATCAACCTGGGAGAAACCATTTTACCTGGTATGAATATCGAAGCAATTAAAGAGGCATGGTTTTATGATGACATAACGACAAGAGGAGTTTCGTTTGATGGATTTCTTCCACAAGCGTGCAAGACGCCTTTAGGAAATATGCTTTTAGGAAATACACCGGAATTTGAGCTGATTCATACACCAGAGCAAATGGCAGATTTCCAGAACAACGATTGGTATCGCAATAATTGGAAATTAGGAGACACAATGTTGACCTTTTCCCCTCTGCAACCGCATAAACACATATTGGTTGATGCTTATCGAAAGGAGATGGCTAAAATCTTGTCTTTTCCTTGTGATTCAGAATGTTGTGAACATGACGCTTCGTGTGGTGCTTGGCCTACCCGGGGATCCTGCCGAGGAATGAACACTCTTTGCGAAGACGTGTCTCGTTATGGGGATGTGATGACAGGTAATAACGTCTTGGACGATGGAAAAATTTATGACGTGAAAAAGGAAATTTATCGTTTAACAGACCGTGTATTTGCAGCATTGGCGAAATGTTATGAAGTTGATGCAAGCGGAACTTTTGCCATACTTAACGAACTTTATAGGATGGAAATCATTTCGTCGGAAGCAAGAGATGACTTTGCAAGTGCTTCGGCGATAGCAATTAAGCTAAGAATAAGTACTTATCTTAAAGCTGGAAAACAAGGGGAACAGTTCATGCCAAATTCAAACGAAGAAACAGGGAAGTTGACTTCAGTTTGCTATATGCCAAATAATGAAGAACTGTTTCACTTTTTCTTCATCGCCATTCCTTTGTATGAAGAGTTACAAAAGTTCAAGGCGGCCGGCATACCGCCGTCGCTTAAACAAAGTTCATTCTTTGACGAATCTGACGTCACGATGGGTCATATATATTGTCGCTTGTTAAAGTACAAGGAAGCTCTTGAATGCTACAACCGTGCTCTTCAACAGGATCCAGAAAACCTGAGTATTGAAATCCGTCGAATAAGTATTGCACTTTGTATTACAAAGGGCACAGAAGAGATGGATGAGATTCGAGAAAATTTGGATATCTTGTTATGTAAGATAGACCAAAGTTGGTCAGAGCCGCATCAGAAAACCACAGCATTTGTCAATCGCTTGGACTTCCAGGAAATTCGGCAACTGCTAGAAGTATTGCCTTTGGCTTCCTCGTTTTTTGATTGTCCCAAATATTTTGAATTGGCAGGAAACATTCTGTTCCAAAATCTGGCGGTAGATGGAAGCGAATACAGTGCTAGAAGAGAATTGCTCATGATGGTAATCGCGTTTGCGAGACATTTGCCCGAGAGTTCTGATCAGCAGCACATAATTGACGCCGTAACTTCTGAAATGACATTCTTACTTGACAAAGAAGGTGTGAGCACTAAAAGTATTCTGTGGTTAAATAGGCTTGGTGAGTTTCTATTTGAAATGCATAAAATTGACAAGGCTTATCGTTGTTTTCAAAGAGCATTGAGTATGGAGCGACTCCTTTACCAAACCAAACCAAATATAAATACGATGACATCTTTATATTTTCTTGGGATGACCTCATTCTTCTTGGCAATGTACAGAGAAAGCAAATTTTACAACGAATCGTTGGTGCAACTGTTTGAATCATTTGGTGGACCTAATGCTAGATTAATGGTTAAGATAGCTTATTTCCAGTTAGGGTTGATGAGCTACGTATTGGGAAATTCTGCGGAGGAATCTGTGTGTTACTTCGAGAAAAGTTTAAAGGCAACCACTGCAGGCAGCCGAAATGATAAAGAATTAAGATTAGATTGTATTTTCTACTGTCAGTTAGCGACTACATGGCATGCTCAACACAACCAAGAGCAAGCGTGGGAGTCTGCTTTGGATGGAAAGGCCTGCCTGAGAAAAATTGTTGGAGTACAAGAAAGAGTAAACATGACTTGTCTGCTCGCTGACACCTTGGCTAAAATACAGAAAACAAATGAAGGAATTGAAATATTGGAGGAAGAGGTTCAAGAACTTACTTCCCAGTCTCAGACGGAAGAAAAGGCCTTGTGTCTGATGAAGCTTGGTAAACTTTGTTTTGAGCAAGGTTTGCCGTCAGATGCTGAGAATTATTACAAACGTGCGCTAGAGGTTATGGTTGATATGCAGGATAATAAGAATATTTTTGACATCTTGGAGTGTCGTATTGGCATTTCAAAAGCCATTATGATGGATAACAGGGTATCTGAAGCAAAAATAATTTTGGATCAAGCTTTCATTTTAGCCAAAAAATTGCATGGGAGTTTGGAAAAAATGTATTTTGTTCAAGATATGGGAAAATTCTGCGAAAATATTGGGTACATCAGTCGTGCTCGAGAATGCTTTGATGAAGCCTTAAGAACGTACAAAGAGCTATCGAACGTCGCCAAGAAACCCCCGTTCATGGAGGTTTCATTCGAGCTGAAGCTTGGAAAGTTGGCTAAGAACGCTTGTATTATTGACTCAGCCAACCCTGAAATTGCGATGCAGGCTCAGCGAAGTCATTATGATCGCGCGGCTGAAGCATTACGGCAACATCTAGCAACTGGACAAGTTAACTCGTTAACTGTTGAGAGGTTTTTAGAATTGGCTGTAGCGTACAAGTCAGTAGACTTCAATGAAGCGGTAAGACTTTTGTTGGAAACTTTAAATCTTAGTGAAGTGGTATACGGAAAAAATAAATCAAATCAGACGGTTATCGAGATACTTGAAGAGCTTTCGGACGCGTACCGCGATACAGGAGATGTGAAAGCCTCTATAAAGTGTAGAGAGCTTGTAATAAGGAAGGAGATGGATCTGTATTTATCAAATCCATTTCATGAATCTATATGCCAGAATTTGATTTTGTTGGCCACTGGTTCCTTCGCATATCCCGTTAGTATTGATACTGTCGAACGTGCTTATGAATTTCTTTTATCTGCTCAGAAAGACAAAGCTCCAACAAACAGTACCGCAAAAACAGCCGCTGCCAGATGTTTCACTTGTCTAGGTATATTATTTTATAATTTAGGTGACCTGGAAAAAGCTGAGACTGTGAACGAGATGGCAAGTCAGTTATTTAGCGAAATTCAGGAAAGTGTTGAAAGAGAAAAACTACCGTTCAAAACAACGTGCGACATCATGAAAGAAATATTATCCTCGCAGACGATATCACCGTTTGATGTGATAAAACTTTCCAACTCTATTACGACAGCATTTGTTGCTTTGCGGCGACAAGATAACTTGGCTGAAGGCTCAAAAACGTCGGAGAACTGTAACAATGGTTGGGGAAATGTAGAGTTGTTCATTCCAAGTTCCGATGTTGTGAAGCCTCGAGAAATTGGCTCTTCGGATCCTAAGACTTTAGACCTTCTGACGCAAACTGTGTCCCAAATTGATCTCCATGTTGAACTTGACTCATTTCCTGATGATGCTTCACTCAATCCAGGATTGTCCAATCTAGAAGTAAAACGACTTTTTCAGTTAGATGCTCTCGAGCATAACCGGAAGATAGGCAATGTCCATCAGGCTGCAAAAATACACGCTTCTCTTCAAGCTGATGAGTTATCTTTTTATGAAAGCTCTCCCTTTGATGCTGTTGACAAGTTAATCAGCGACGCAGTCAGAGCAAAAGAAGACAATAGACTTAGTAGTGGTATTAGATCTTTAGATATTGCTGTACAGCTGTCATCTAACTGGAGACGAAAAACCAAGATTCTTAAATTGCGTGGGGAATGTTATTTATCCAGGGGCGATTTCCGAAACGCTGCAATTAATTTCAATGAAGCCATTTGCGTTTATTCCAGCGAGACAGTGGGAAATCGTGATGACCTGTGTGAATATTCAGAAGTGGCGATTGGTTTAATAAAAACCGAGATGCTGTGCCAGAATGTAGCAGGTGCATGGGTGGAATGTCAAGAGGCGATAGAACTGGTGTTTGATCATGAGCATAGCGAATCCGTGCATCTGCAAGCGATAGAGTTGCTTTACCTTCAAGCAAAATGCCTGGACATTTTGTCAGACAGTGCAGAAAGCAAAGATGTTGAGATTGCCCTAAGTTGCTCTCTGTGCCAACAAGCTAATTTTATCTTGAGCCAGACAACGAACTCCGTTGAGCAAGCGGAAGAACGTGGAAGCTCGGGAGCTGAAAAATTTTTAGCCTTGAAGTGTGAAGTGCAGCTGTTGTTGGCGGCAGTTTTCCGAAAGTTGCATAAAGAAGAAGAAGCTGGTAAAATTTTGGAAGAGATGGAGCAATTTTTTTTAAATATTGCCGACAAATTTGAATTTCTAGAATGTGGTCGCCTATTTTCATGGATTGGTCGAGTGTTAGTTATGCGTGATAAAATAAAGCGATCTATTACTTGGCTGAGTAAGTCACTCTTGGCGTTTTTCTCAGCTGCTCTTCCCGATATGTTGTCATTTTATGAAGAATTTCTTCCTTTGCTGCAGGCAATTACGGTTACCAAATCCAGTGGTACTAGTCACGAAAGTCGCTCTCCGTTTCAACAGGCTCTTGATATGTGCAAAGAAGTGTCGGTAAAGCATGGCAATGATTTAAACAACGTCTACGAGTTTTTAAAAACATTGGCAAATATCTACATGGGCCTCGGTCGCACTGAAGAAGCAATTGTTGTAGCAGAAACTGGTTTAGAAATATGCGATTTGATGGGGGATACCAATGTCACTGATCGAATAAACAATCGCGGCAGAATGTTACTTTATCTGGCCCAAATGCACCAACAAAATTCAACTAACTCGGCCTTTGATAGAAACAAGGAGCTAAATCTTGCAGAACGCTATTACCTTACCGATCAAGACTCAGCAGCGGAATTTGGTCTTCAAACGAACCTAAGCTACGCCAACTTTCTATGTGAACAAAAGCGTTTTGTGGATGCTGATGCTGTGCTTCGTGATATGAACAATTTAGGCCAAGAACTGTCGGATAAGTTTGTGTATTGTGCCTATTTTTCACGTGTCTTTTATGGTCCGGGCATACAGAAAAGCGTCGAAGTTGACGGCGAGCTATTGTCAACTGTTGAACATTGTATGTACAGCACAATGGTCCGAGTGTTTGTTGGAATGGGAAAGAAAACAGATGCAGTCGCTGCGTGCGAGAAACTAACAGCCAACCCACTAGTTGTTCATGATACAATTCACGAGAAACGTCCTTCTAGTATCCCGTACCTTATCGAGGCCTGTCATCGCGAGTTGTTGTCTCTTTTGAGTGACGAAGACCAAAAACAACTTCAGAATTGTGAATTTCCGTTATCTCCAGCAAATATTTTCAAATTGTATTACATGCTTAACGAATACACCTTGGCACTAAAATACTACACGGACGAGACACAATCACCCGATATGATCGAAATGTGTAACACAATGTTCCGAGTGTTTGTTGAAATGGGAAAGAAAAGAGAAGCGGTATCTGCGTGCGAGAAACTGACAGCTAACCCAGTAGTTGTTCATGATGCAATTCACAGGGAACCTCCTTCCAGTACCCCATACCTTATCGAAGCCTGCCATCGCGAGTTGTTGTCTCTTTTGAGTGATGAAGACCGAAAGCAACTTCAGAATTGTGAACTTCCGTTATCTCCAGCAAGTATTTTCAAATTGTATTACATGCTTAACGAATACACCTTGGCATTGAAATACTACACGAACGAGACACAATCGCCCGACTTGATGGAAATGAAAATTTCATGCTTGCGCTTAGCTGGAAATGAATTAGTGGAAATGGGTAGAGTAGATGAATCAGATTCATACTTCACGCAATTTCTTGCAATGCTTCAAACTAAAGAGGGATTTCTGGACCAGCCCTTTCATGCTCAATGCACAACCCTTGCACGATATTCTTCTGCAAATCAATATTACATTTTCCGCTCGTTGGGACGTATAATGGAACGCGAAAGAGGGAATCTTGATGGTGCAACTCAGTGTTATGAACGATGCCTTGAACTGGATACGGATTTGAGCCTTGACCAAGACCTTGTGGCAACCCTGCATGAGCTTTATCGATCAAAGGCGTTAACAGGTGATATAGAAAACCAAGATTCCTGCGAACGGCTGATGAGCCATGATTTTGATTTGTTCCAGGAGCTGTTTCAAGAGTGTGCCGAATTGTCAATATTTGAAGAATGGTCGTTTGCGTCAAGTTTGTTGGAATTGGAATGTTATCATGAAGCTGTTGAACATTTTGAAAATGTTATTAAAACAGCAGATGACGAGCCTATGGTCTATACGGACGTAGACAAGCCGTCGATCGACGTTTACCTTCGTCGTGAGATTGAAACTAGTGGCAGTATTACCATCCCAGTGAAAGTTCACGCTTTCTACGAGTTAATTTTAACTTATATGAAATTGAATGAAGTGGGAAAAGCCCAAGAAGTTGCGCTTGGATTGGAGAATTATGTTGAACGCTTTCAATTAACTCCAGAGTATTCTCTGGCTCTGTCTACTGTAGGATATGCCAACAAACTAATTGGAAACAAACAAAAAGCCGCGGAGATATTTGTTTCGGTATTGGAAATCAACCCGGGGCATTTACCGGTCACAGAAGCATTGGAAAGCCTCTGTGTGTGAGGCTCTACAGGATGTGAATATCATAACTGTGAATAACGTAAACTTACTACATTGCGACTAGGGCTGCTCCCAATTAATCGATTGATCGATTAATCGATAATTTTTTCCGCAATCGATTATACTTAAGAGGATAATATTTTGTATGTTGCATGCGAAACACACGCTCAAAACTAATGAATATACTTTTCTTCTTGGGTATGACTATATTCAATTTTTAAAATTTTTGATACGGTTCTCAAGCGGCAAACAAACTTTCAAAGTATGTTTAGTGCTTTATCTGTAAAATCTAAAACAAAGAGATTTTAGGTCGTACGCCAAAGAAAAAATCACGGTTTAAAGTTCGGTAAGTTTTGCTTATATTGCTGTATAAATATAGCGTCAATTTTACAGCATCAATGATAGTTGTATTTAAATTGACATAATTTAACTATGTGTTTCTCAACCGCCAGATACATTTAAAAAGGTTGCTAACTGTGCAAGCTACAGAATAAAGTTAAAACAAAGTAATTTTAAAGAGGAACGCCAAAACGATTTTTCATGATAGATCCGTCAGTATTTCCTTTCCGATAATTCTGATCCTGATTTACCTTTTTCAGTTATTTAGTAGCGAGTCATTTGGTCTGCATCTTGCATAGCTTTTAAAATTTATTTTCATAGACGGTTTTATTAAGTTCTGAAAATTGAAAAATCGCGCTGCGTTGCGAAATCGGATTCGCTGTGTCTGGGCCTTTACCGTATCATTTAGAAGTTTCAGAACGTAAACTAAATATCGTTATTTTTTGTCAGTTAATTGTCTACTTGTTTGAAGTCTCCGTGCGCGAGAATGTGCGAAATTTATACCGTTGAGTAAAAAATAATTTCAAACGTAAATACTGTTGGGTGAGGGAGGCACATGTCAAATTTAAATGAATTAATCAATACGATTAATCGATATTAATCGATCATGAAAATGAACCGATGGGAGCAGCTCTACTTGCGACGCGAATTTGTGGATTTACTGGTCCTCAAGTACGAGCGTAAAAACGCGCCAGCTGTTACAAAGGCCGGTTGTTTGAAGCTGAACTAGCGCAAAGTCTCGGTTAAAATTTAACCCGCTGTTTTAGTTTCTGTATTCTGCGCGTCTGTTAATTTCAAAATTTCAGAGAAGAAAACATGTACTGATCCGCAAAAGATTTCTCAAGAAATATTTCCAAGTTTATATACAAGCTGCTAGGAGATTTGGTTTGCATTTTAGGTTAACCTAAGGTTAAGCTATAGACGGCTTTCGAAAAACAAGCCCCAGATCTGCAAATGGTTCCATGCAGCTGAAAGCTCAAGGACAAAAGCAAATAGTCTCTTCGCGCGAAATAATTCGCTAGTGGAAAACCGGCTTTAAACCTGGTTTCCATATGGTCGTAACGGTCGTAAAGCTTGAGTCACGATCTTTCTCATCAGCCGAAGTACAACATTTTAGATCTGAAAATACGCGGAGTGATTATAACTAGAGAATACTTATGAGTTATACGTGGTTTACAGGTATAAACTATTTTATTATATAAAGTATAGTGCTTTATGTACTATTTAAAAAACGAGCAGGAGTGTTTTATTAGGTTTAAAGCCACGAGCGCGCAGCGCGAGTGGCTTTAGACCTATTAAAACACGACCCGCGAGTTTTTTAAATGACTTCAAAAACGTATGCATAATAAGTCAAATCTTTATATAAAAATCTTTATATAAAAATCTTTATATAAAAATATTTATATAGTTTGCATAACAATGGTCTTTTGTTAAAGTGTTCTTTAGCTGGTATAAAGACGCATGCACGTGACTAATTTCTTACTCAAGATTGGATAATTGCTTCATGAATTATTAATGAGTTTTTGAAAGAGATTTCGAGCACTGATAAAAGTGATAATCTCACATGTGAGATTATTCATGATAATCTCACATGTGAAAATTATCGCTTTTCAATTATCGCTTTTCTGTAAAAATTATCGCTTTTCAAAGACTGTCCTTTATATAATAAACAGAAAAATACATGGGTGCTTGGAATTACCAGATTTATTTCTCGTGTTGAACATGATATCATGTTCAACACTCGAAATAAATCTGGTATTTCCGCGCACCCATGTATTATTCTCTATATAAACTGGCCATTTAGAAAGATCGTTATTCTATTTTTACGACCATATAGAAACCAGACTTTATTCAGCAACGGATTGCGCATGCTGCCTTTGATCCCTTGGGGGTGAGGCAGCACTTTCTTTCATTCCTTGTGATAGTATTCATGAATAGAACAGCAAGAGTTTGGAACGTTCTTCCTGCAGAACTGAGACATCAGTCTCTCACTTTACCAAGATTTAAATCTCTGCTGTTAGACTACTTCAAAACTGCCTTATACCTATAAATCAACCTCAAAATCCTCGGACATGGAAGTCTATCTGATTAAAGTGTAACACTGCTCGTAGTCTTGCTGCTTCACTCTCTTGCTGCTATTATAGTGTCTCATAGTTATTGAAATATAAACATGATTAGGAAGGTTGTAAGTCTTAATTTTATGTTCTGTCTAAATTTGCATAGATTTGTGTCAATTTGTGCACGTCCAGGTTCTTTACTGTTTTGATCTATTTTTCGAAGTTGTCAGATCTTCCTACCCTTGTTTATTAAGTTTCAATAGCTATTTTATATTCTATGAATTGTTATATGTTTTATAAAATTTGCAAGCAGCTAATTAAGTATGTTTGTGAAATACAATACAACGAAAACTTCGAGGAATTTGTTTGCTTGGCTTCAAGTTCCAATTCGTGTGATGACTTTGATCACTTTCGTTGTATTTTATTTGTGTTTTATTATCTATTTAAAATTTAAAGGGCCCACAGTAATTTGTAACATATACTGTTGTGGTGACCCTGCCATGAATGCATGCATGATAATGGCGAAGTTAAATAAATAAAGTACAGCCGGTTTTCCACTTCAACTATATCGTAACGTACCGTAGCATTTTCTTTTGTGTCGAAGTCATTAGTTCCACTCTAGTGGTCAAGAAACAAAGAAACACGCTACGTTTCGGTACGATACGATTGAAGTGGAAAACTGGCTTAAGGCCCCGTTTACATGAAACCGGAACGAAGTGAAATCGGGACCATTTCGTTTTGGTCATAGTATTATTTATAATAGATGTAAACATGAGACCAGGACGAAAATAACTCTGACCGGTCTCAAGTCATTCCGCCTGCTGGACCTAGCCGACTGACTTAGGCCCCAGTTACACGATACCGGATTCGCATCGGAGCGACATCAAATTTTACTGCTTCGAGTTGAATTTGGGCACTTAAAATTATGATAATATAACATAATTAAACAAAAGCTTCAAATATAAAAAGTTGTAAGAGCAGGCATGACTGGAAAACACCTTAAATCGATGTCGCTCCGATACGAATCCGGTATGGTGTATAACTGGGGCCTTAGACCGGGATGAATGTGAACGCAAGTACATTTCAGACCGGTCTCGGCTGTAACCTTGACATTGGAACAACACATGCTAACAAAAGCCATCTGAAAAAGAAATTAATTGTCTGGCAAGGGGAATAAATTGAAAATTTCGTGATTTTCGTACCGGTCTCAAGTGAACATGTTGACAATTTCAATTTTCATTCTGGTTCGACTTCGTCGCGATCTCATGTAAACGGGGCCTAAGTTAGTAACTTCTAGTAGCTAGTATAGTAATATTTAGTTATCGTGACTGTCAGAAAGCTAAAACTTTGTCATAGAAAATTTATTGTAGGTAAACACGTGCGATTGACGAATAAACTATAGAGTATAGAAAACCTACTCATCTGTAACCGGCTTTATAGCATAGCCCGCGTGCAGGCCCATCGAGAGAAGAATATACCCTCGATGGGCCAGCACGCGGGCTAGCTTTAGCATCGCAAATGACAAATTGCATGTCAGGTTAATTTTTTATCTAGGCAAATAAAAGTAAATTCCCCAAAAAAACTTATTAAAAAAAAGCCATGACCAGCCGACAATTTAAAAAAATAAAGTAAAAAACAAATTCCGAAAATACAGGACATCTTGAGAATTCAATATATAATTCAAAAGGGCCATTCCATTTAATGAACACACCCCCCTGTGGACGAAGTCAATAAAATTTGAACCCCTAAGAAAAAAAGATCAAAGTGCCGACACAA